CAAAAAAAAAAAAAGCACAGGCAGATAGTCGTTCAGTTCAGTACAGAAAACAAACGCACGCACGCTTTTACATAATTTCTGTATAGCATTCATGCATATTACGTAGTATACGGCAAGTATTATCAAGCATACGAGCAAACGTGCGATCCAACTTTTCAGCTATGTACAAATGACCTATGACCCGATGACATCATAGGGCGCCAGTGCGTAACTACGAACTGGCTTATTAACTGTTTAATCGGTAGAATGTCAGTCACATCACCCCTGATTGCATGCACATCGCCTTTCAGGAATTCTTCTCTTATACAAGTCTGAGTGTACGTCACTGGAGTCTACTGGAGAGAGTGCGTCCATATCCACACGTTTAATGTCTGACGAATTAGCTGTTTAACCCGCATCCATCACATCACTCACGATTGATTGTACGTGGCTTTTCGTCGGTGCGACTGCGTGCGCATGTGTTTCGAGAAAGCGGCCGAGGATAAGCCCCTGAAAGAGCAGATGTCACACGCGTACGGTTTCTCTCCCGTGTGCCAGTGCGAGAGAAAGTGCACCTTGAGGTCGCTGGCGGTCCTACACCTGTATTCGCATATGTCGCACGTGTATCCCGTGTGCGTGCGCGCGTGTCTGTGGAGATGCGTCAGCCGAGAACACCTGTACTCGCATACATCGCACGCGTACGGTTTCTCTCCCATGTGTGTTTGCATGTGAGTCTTCAGGCTGTTGTGGTCGCACGTCCTGTACTCGCACGCGTCGCACGCGTAAGGTTGCTCGCCCGTGTGCGTGAGAAAGTGCTTCTTGAGGCTGCCGGAGGTGGTGTAGGCGGAGCCGCATATGTCGCACGTGTACGGTTTCTCTCCCGTGTGCGTGCGCGCGTGACGCTTCAGGTTGTCGCGGAACCAAGTACTGTACTCGCACACGTCACACGCGTACGGTTTCTGGCCCGTGTGCATGAGAAAGTGCTTCCTGAGGGTGCCTGAGGTGGTGTAGGCAGAGCCGCATATGTCGCACGCGTAAGGTTTCTCTCCCGTGTGCGTGCGTGCGTGGATCTGAAGACTCGCCGGCCGCAAACACCTGTACTCACACACATCGCACGCGTACGGTTTCTCTCCCGTGTGCGTGCGTGCGTGTGCCTGTAAGCCACTGAGCTGAGAGCACCGATACCCGCACGTATCGCACGCGTACGGTTTCTCTCCCGTGTGCGTTCGTATGCGAGTCTTCAGCATGTAGCGGGAGCACGTCCTGTACTCGCAAACGTCACGCGCGTACGGTTTCTCCTCCGCTTCGCTCTGCACGTTTGAGCGAGGAGGAGAAGCAGGAGAAGAAGACGGAGGAGCAGAAGAAGCAGGAGCAGGAGAAGCAGGAGCAGGAGAAGGAGGAAAAGGAAGAGGAGAAGGAGCAGGAGGAGGAGAAGAAGAAGCAGAAGGAAGAGGAGAAGGTTCCATCGAGCGGGCGGTGATCGAGATCACGATTTCTCCCCAATGCAGGTTCCTCTCTCAGTCGTCCACTTTCCTGCGGACAAAAAATAGAGACCACGGATAACTTCCCCTGCCTCACAAAAAGATGAAGTCAGATTCGTTTGCTGCGGGCATGGACTACACAACGACGAGTGAACTTTTCAAAATGTTAGTGTGTCGCAGGTTTTTCAGAGTATAGATACACGTGAATTCGATGGAGTCACGTGACCAAATCACCACGGCAACGACAACATTATGCCCAGACATTTCTAAAGTCAATCACTATAGTGATTTATTCATTGACATATCTACAGGAAGTGAGAGACTATATATAAGCAAGAGGTATCTATAGGCAATTGTTGTTGTCGCTTTTCTTTCATTTAAAGTAATAATTACGAGAAATCTTCAGGGTTTCCCCACTTTTCCGATACTTACCGTTATTGCTAGAGTAACAGCAATTGTCTAGAGTAACAATAAAATGTCGTAGAATCTTCGTATTCACCAAAACATGCAATTTTCGAACTAGTTTGGCAAACGAACGTTTGTTGTAATCTTAGGACTAGTGCCGATAGGTCTTCTCAGCTAATAGCGCCACCTATCTGCCATAGACATACAATCTATCTCAAATGCAATTGTTTTCAAATCCGGCAAATTACAAGTTTACACATTTAACGAATCTCGCAGATCGATGTCATTTTCATTGTGTTACGATGTGTTCATATCCAATTTTCTATGTTATAACTGCATAAAATCTTGGTGTTTTATTAATGTTGGTGAAATCAGTAATATATCCACTGTGAGGTGAGCCTATATTTAGCTATATTTTTTTCGGATTGAGCGTTTCTGAGCAAAAATCTCATAATAGTCAGTTTAATAAAATTTGCAAAAATTGATGAAATAACTCTTCATTTCATTTTTGTGTACTTATTTTAGTTACTTTACACTTTGGAGACAGTAAATCTATCCTACAGGAAACGTAAGCATGAAAATTTAGAACACCTCAATCACAACTTTAGTTGCCATTCAAGAAGCGTGCGTGGGATGTTCGTACGCACAGGTTCCTGAATCCAGACTAAAGCAGTGTTGGCATACCAAAAATCGATAACAAGTAGGCAGAGCTTACTTTTTGCCAGTGGCAGTAAACCTTACATTGTGTTGGCCAGGGTTTATTTACGTGCACGGGTCGTGCGGCATGCTCACTGTTCACGTGCGCTAGGTTGTGGGGTAATTCACACATATCTTGACATCTCACCGCATTTCACGTTTGGATGTAAACAATAAAGTATCACTGGTAGTTAACAAACGATCAGTATACTGTTTTAAAATAATATTAAGAAGATTAAGGTAATATAGCATGTTAAATTATGCAGTAAATAATAATAATTGTCTCAAGTTGACACACATAAGTCACTGTAGCTGCAAAGCACGTGCAGGGTTCTCCCCACGTTGCGCAAACGGGGCGCGCGCGCGCCCGCCCGCTGTTTGAAAATGCTTCGCCCCCCACCCGTTTGAATCGTTGCGCCCCGTTTAAGATTACCTCCGCCCAGTTTTGGAAAATTCCACCCAAGAATAAAAGTTTGAAGCCAGTCGCGAATCGAATCCTCAACACGAAACGATCCTCCTAAGAATTTGCCGTAAGACCAGGGAGACATCTGACGCATGCACTGCAGACAGTACACAAGTCCTGACAATCACAGTTAACCTGTGACTATGTACACCGGACGTCGGCTATTTCTATATATACAAGAACCCCAAATATCGCTGCTATGTGTGGTGGCGATTTTTACGCCCCTTAATTTAGTCGTGACGGTAAAAGATACACGCCCCGAACCCCTAGCCCATCTTCCGCCCCTCTGTTTCCCGCCTAACCCCCTCCACGTCTCCCCCGCCGCCCTCACCCCTCCCCTCCCCCTGATGAAATTCTTCCTGGGAGAACCGGCTGACGTCGTATCTACTTTACTAGTCATCGCGAAACAGCCATGTACAGCCTCGTCGCAGCCACTATGATCTCTATTATACTACTAATTAACCATATACTAACTTATTAACAGTTAGTATAATAGAGATCAGTGGTCGGCCGCCATCAGGCTTTAACACGTAATCATATAGTTTTTAAATGCGTTTGCGAAAAGAGTATATATTAGCAATTTTATACAGAGTGCGAGCTAAAATAAAAGCTTCCAATCAGCTTATAGACCAAACGTAGTTTACGTAATACACGCTCTCCGTGATGGGCTTAATCATTTGCATAGCCTTCGCTGTCTCCCAATATTCTGTACACATGCTAGCACACCAGAATCAGGCAAGCATATACGTTGAAGCAATTACCAATCATCATAAAATATCCCGAACATTAAGGTAATCAATGTTGGCTTCAAATCCCAAAGCAGCACGGACACAACACAACCCTAGTTCCAACACATGAACTTTATTATATCTTGCTCCTGCTTGCAGGTTCGTGGGCTGGTTCGCGTAAGGCATTGTCAAAGCAGGCGAGCACGCGGTGTTCATCGCTGCAACACACTCACATTGGGGCCTGACAATCAGACCTCATGCACATAGATCAGAAAACTGCGATAACTTATATGCTTGCTCGCGTTGTAAGTACACTTGCTAGCTCTCTTACCTTAGTCGTATTTCGATCTAAAAATTTGTTGCTAACAATTCCTCCGACCATCCGGCCATCCATCGTGCATCCAACTGTATTTTGGGAAAACAACAGAGTAGCGTATTTTGGTAGCGTTGTACTTACGCAACGCGAAGCAACGCAGTATACGTTTATTCAGTTCTTCGACCTTATGTGCTGTCCACGTCTTGATTCGATCAGCCCCAATTGTGAGTTTTGGACATGAAAGCAGGCAATCCTCGGCGGGATCAGAGAAATTCCACGTTTTTGTAAGGCAATGGTTGCTCTGACCTAACCCAACACCAAATTCACCAAATCGTCGGTGTTGGGCATTGGTCCGAGGAATTTCAGGCTACCGTACCTTCAGCCACTGCGTAAAAAAAATGCTGCGGTATCCAGGGCAGTGCTCGAAATAAGCGCTTGTCGCGTTTCCGAGACAACCAGAATTTGCACTGGACAACCTAACAGTCAGCGAGATCATTCGTCCGGTGGACAGTACCAAGGAACCTGCTTAGCGCTAACCCTAACAACGCGACCTCTTAAACCGTACTCGCCTATCTATATATCACGCGTGTACGGCGTTATTAATCTATGGTGATATCAACCGTATTGGCTTTCAATATTTTGCATCCGAACTGAAATCAATTCCCAACCAAACTCGGGTGTAGGCTAGCTGGCAGCAATAATGTTCAGTTTCATACTTCAAATCCGAGTGTTTTCTAGCTGCATCAAGAATTTTAAATCCGTGAATTAACAATCCGTGAATAATATAACAAGAAGCCGCCAGAGCATCTGGGCTCATCTAGGTTCTGTTGCTGACGATTAATAAACGTAAAATTTCATTCATCGTGCGTAGTACCACATTGTTAAGGCGCCGATAGCAGACACGCAGTTTCGTACACATCATTGTTAGGACAGCGCCCACCTATCGGGCAGATGGAGGGTAGCGGCGGAGGGGGGGGAGGGGGTGGGGGGGTGGAAAGGGCGGGGAGCGGGCGCCGTGACGGCCGAGGTGGGGAATGGGGGAACAGGGGAGGGTGCGGGGGAGGGGGCTCATAATAAGCAAAAGCAGTTCACTCCCTTTCGTTAACGAGTCAAACGAAATCCATGTTTAAACCGCTTCCTCTTTCGAGGGTCAAAGAGGTTATGCCGACACCTTACTGCTTCGCATGTCAGGCAGAAGCGGAGCATTTGCATGGTCCTTTCAATAAGCCATAAAAATGCTAGGTCACCGCTGAAACAAAAAAGTTTTCAATCGCTCCGGTCAGAACCAAATGTCCTCGAAAATGTCTAAAATCTGCCCTGTGCCCATTGACCTATTGACTGTGACCTCCGAATTTCGGCACAGTGATGGCTTTTCTACCGATGATGCTATACACCCGACGTATGCACGAGCCTAGTGGAGGCGCGTTTAGATTTGTGCCGCAATTCTGCATTTCCTCCCTATACGCTGAAGTTAAGGATGAGATGTTCCCCATATTTTACACCTCTTGACCTTTGACCTCTTGACCCAAGCTTCGACATCCCAACTCGTTTTTCGATTACCCACACCAGTCCGCGAATATCGTGACCGTACTCGCAGCCGGTTAGATTCTGTGCCGGCAACTGTTTGACGGCACGCGACGGACGCACGACGGGAGGCGCACGGACGCGGACGGACGATCAGCGATCTCTACAAGCTGCCATCTGACATATGTGCAGATGAGCTAAAAATTAAAACCCAGCATGATGCCTTTCTGGTATGCCCCTCAATATAATGCTTTCTTCCTATGGCCGGCTGAGCTGTAACGTGCAGTCATAGAAATCATAATATATAGTGTCCTCTAATATTTCTTGCTATGGTAACGTTATGTTCGCGCCACAACTGGAAATGGATACCACGGCCATAGCTACATGATATATGTTAAGATTCCAAGATGCAAAAGCTAAATATTAGTATATTATAATATGGTACTAGTTATTATTTTATTCGTTGTTGAAACCAAAGTTACATTGACGATAAAATCTAATTTAAACTAGGCCTATAGTTGCCGCGGATGGCGGCGTGCAGTGTTAATCAATAATCAAACGATGGCATCGTTCCCTGAAATCGTACAGTAGCGTACAGGCTAAAATCCAAGTAAGTATATCAGGCAGTGCCAGCTGTGAGTTACAGGTGCATTGCAGGTGCCGGCAGAACAATTTTGATAAGAAGCGTGCGCAGCCATGGCTGCGCTGTGTTTTTGCTCATTGTGAAAGGGGCAGGGTTGGCTATATATAGACAGACTGCTTTAAAAATCAATAATGATGTTAAAGGCATAATTCGAGCCCATCGAGTTATGCAAAGTTGACGAATGGCTAGCAGTACTGGCACCTTGTGTAGTTGAATTAAGTACATTACCGTTATAGTAACAGCGTATTAGTTGTTGTCGCAGATATCACTGCTAATTACTGAAGAATTGTCTACTTGAAACCGTAAATTTGGTAATCTGGCGATCAACGCATTTATTGCGAACCAATAAGCAAGGAGTTCGTCGGGACGGCTCACATGTTTGGCTAGCAGGATGTTGAGGCATCGAATTGTTGTCCGCCGGGGTAAATTGTTTGGCCTAGTGTGGTATTATTTGCCTAGTTGCCACATATTATATGTTGGCTTGTAATCTCAAGAACTTCGTATATTCATTTATTCCCGAATCCGCAAGAGTAAAACGCATAACGCTTACGGAATGCGCACTGCAGACTACAAGGATCGAAATCACTGACGCCGGAGCATACGTACGAAAATGTCCCGGTGGCACTATAATCTGTATGAACCGCCTCGCGCGATTACGGGCCCGGCGATAGCCGGGTTGAAACCTGTCAACAACGGAATTTTTGACCGCCGGATTTCAATTGGATATTTCTTAGTAACCAGACAGTGATTTGCGACAAACTAATACGGCGTTGGCTATAAGCGTAATGTAACTTATTAACGTACACAAGGTGCAGTTACTGTAGGCATTCGTCAACTTCTGCATAATCGATGGTCGAAATTCATGCGCTTTAGGAGCGTAACCTTGTTCAACAACATTTCCTTTGCAATTAACTGTGGCAACCTGCGCCTCGCATTGACACAGGTAATGGGCTCTAATATAGCAAGCAGTTCGCAGGTCCTTTGTTAAGCAGTCAACAATCATGTTAACGGCCGTGCCTCTTGAGGTCAAAAGGTTATCCGACACTTACTCTTCGCACGTCAGTGAAAGGCCAATCATGTCCTTTCACTAAAGCCATAAAAATGCTAGGTCACGCTGAAACAAAAAAGTTTTCCAATTGCTCGTCAGCACCATGTCGCCCTCAGAAAATGTCTAAAACCCTCTGCCCTGTGCCGCATTGACCTTTGACCTAGTGACCTCTAATTCGGGCACAGTGATGGCTTTTTCGCTACCATGATGCTAATACACCGACTATCAAGCGAGCCTAGGTCGACGGCCGTTTAGATTTGTGGCGCGCAATTTCTGCATTTCCTCCCTAATCACCTTAAGTTAAGGAAGTGAATGTTCGGCCCTTCCCTTTACACTCTTGAACCTCTCTGACCTTTGACAGACGCCCAGCTTCGACATCCCGTACTCGTTTTTGACGATCCTCTCCCCAATCGACCGAATATAGCGTTGACGGCTGTACGTCGAGCGGTGGTTAAGGATTCTGTGGCCCAACTGCTTGACCGGACGACCGACCGACGGACGAACGGCGGACTGGCACGGACGGAGCGGACGATCAAGCGATCTACAACGCTGGCATCTGACTATGTCAGATTGAGCTTAAAAATATGGGACCGAGCTGTCTATTTCACACCTGGTATATGTCAGGTTTCATTGATTTTATGAGAGGTGAACTCGATTTGGAGAACGCAGCAAATACCAGCAAGTTTTCTAAAATTCTGGGAATGGACCCCATTACCCACCCCCGGGCCCCTATGCCTGTTTTTTTCAGCTCCTCCGGCGTCCTTGGAATCCTATAACCGGCCAGCTGAAGCAATTACATCTCTTGGGAGCAGAGACACAATGAACATAAAATGCGCTTTTCGGCATGGATTGCAGAGGCTGAGAGGTAGAGGAGCCGTAGGGTGTGGAGAGGAGGCGGAGGACGGGCAGGTAAAATCAACTATTTTGGCGTAGTTCGGTCTGTTTTTTTTTGGTCGGCGCCCTTGTTTAAAAAATACTGGCTACGCGCACCTGTTTTTGGGTTGTTTTCTGATCTATTATTATGTGATTGCCAATAGGAGATTTGGGATATTTTTTGGACAACGCAGAAATCTGTTGGCCGGTACAATCGCCGATTTGATGGGCGGGGGTTGTCGCAGGACAACGAGAATTTTTTTCTATTTTCGAGCACTGCAGGGAATGATGCAGGAGCTGTAATTTGCCCTGGCCGGCCTGTAAAATCCCTTTACGCTACAGGACCGCGAGCGCTGTAAATTTTCAAACTTAATTTCTATCCCTGGTAACCACACATGTGACATATATTTTGTTTTGGCCTTATGAGGCATATTATATATGAGCTATGCCATATAATAACAGTAATTAATACTGTATAATAAGATGCTATGTCTATATAATGTAATAATGTCTGTAGCAATAAGCACTATCAGTATATACAGAACTTCAGTAAGACTACAGTAAAAACACACCAACACTGCAGCGTACTGACGCTGACACCGGTGCGGGACGTCGGCAAAGTGTGGGCGTCAGTAATTGTAAAATCAGTGATTATTCGATAGCAGAAAGCAAATTAATTGTTGTTGTCGTTGTGACGATATGACCGAGTGCAGAGATACCAATTGCATTAACGCTTGACTTCTATCTTCGGCCTTCGGCACCAGTTCCTTAGAAGTTGTGCAATACATTTCCACAACGGGTGAGGCGCATTTGCATTGCCGTCGCGCGCCTCTAACGAGGGGGCCGCTATATAAACAATTCAAACGGCGGGCATTGCGGGATACGTCATAGATTAGATATAAGATATAACAAGAATACAACAGTTTTATTATCGCTTTCAATATTCATAGATTATATAACCATATGATATTAATATTCATATCCCATTGAATTATCCAAACTTCTGATAAAGGTCTCCTATTTTGACATGACTGGCATAGGTACCGAAGTGATGACGTCACGTGGCATGACAAACGAGCCTGCTGGTTTCTACACAATCATATTATGCTCTGGTAACATAACTGCGTGTCGTGTTTCTGTACGGCGGCGATTTGTAAGCCTAATTCTGAGAGTATTCTTGCAGTTTTATAGATTTCCAAAGGATGGACGTGAAAAGCAACGGGAAAAAAAATAAAAATTAACATTAAAAAAATAAAAAAATAAAAAAAATTTGCTTAATATTGTTTTTTTTTCATTCACATTGTAAGATGCGACTTGCTAAACCGGATGCTTTTAACGGGCTGTCTGCAGCGCACACACTCGTGTTTTACGTACGCACAACATTTTGCACGCAGTAAACGTATGGAGCCAGTGCTTTGCTGTAAGAACCAGCCCGCGTGCGTTGTCTTGGCTCAACGTGACGTGCACACTTCGGTACTCTTATAGAGTGTGCTCACAAGAGAGAGTGTGCAACAAGAGTGTCTCATCATACTTCTAGTCCACAGCACTTGATAAGTTGAGGCGTCTCAAATAAAAAAAAGAGCTAAATAAAGCACGAAATTGTATTACGCAAAGTCTTAAGCGTTTCTGCTACTCTATTTCGCCTAACTTATGCCGATAATTTTATTGTTAAATGCGTTAAAGCTCCTCTGTACTGGGAACACACAAGTACACCGTACCCACGTCGCTGTCAGTGCCGGATTAACCATTAAGCAGACTAACTGCACGTGCTTAGAGCACGCAAGGGCCAAGGGGGCAGCCACAAAGTTTGGAAAAGGGTGAAAACGAAAAAAAAGAATAAAGATTGTACTTCCCAGGTGTACCAAACGGGGCGCCCAACAATACAATACTACAAGGGGCCCCTATGCACCACAAGGTACTGAATTCCGCAATTATAGCAAAGTGAAAGGTACTGCAAGACTTGCAGACAGCTTCATTAATGCTTATCCCAGATGACATGAAACAACACTTGTCTACAGAGCTTCAGCAGTTCCATTCATATGTTCTTCATAGAGTTTGAAGTTTAAGTTTCATTAAGTAACGATGCAAGCTTTAAAACTCCACAAGAAAGACATTGCATCTTTTTCCACTCGGATGGCAACTTTAGCAACACAATTACAGAAGACCAACTAGAGCAGTGCCTGTCAATGATGAAAGTTGCCTTAAGAATATTTTTAACATTCAATGGTCAGCCAGCTGCCCAACACATGCGTCTACACAGCAGAATTGCTCCGACGCTGTCGATTGGAGGAAAAAATCGACCCGCCCACTCCCGCCGCATACGCTATGACTATCGACGGTAGGAACGTGTACTAACTATCATATGGCAGCGAACGATTTGAGTTACAATTTCTATAAATTCTAGGGCTGATTATCGACAAATGTCTTAGCCTTGAATGCTCTGTAAATTTTGAGTCTATTGCAGCGCGATTAGTCCTATTAATTAGCAAATATGCACGCCGCGCGCTATGACGGCGGTGAAACGAAACGTCACGTATTCTAATTTTCATCCTCTAAAAATAGAAAAAGTGGGCGGCTATTTTTATCGCTCCAATCAGCAGTCGGAGGCAATTCCATGCTGTTTAGACGCATGTTGACACAGAGAGTCTTTCTCACAACTTGAACAGTGTAAAAAAAACAATAGATTGACATCGTAGTCCAAGAATGAAGGTGTAGCATGCATTACGCTCAAAAATTGGCCACTCAAATACGCGATATCTCCTGCGATCTACATTTTAAAGAAATTTTCCCCATACCCCCCCCCCGCCTTGTT